CCAAACCCCACACCCCCCTGGTGTGCGGAAGCGGCAGGGGGGTTGCCAAGGTCGCCTTCTCCCTCCCCAGGTCCCGGCTTTTGAGGGCGACGACGGCTTCTGCGTCTTCGAGAGCAATGCCATCGCCTACTACGGTGAGTCGGGGGGGGCTCCGGTGTGGCGGGGGGGCCTGTCCTGCCCCTTAACGAGCTTTTCTCCCCCTTAACGAGCTTTTCTCCCCCTTAACGAGCTTTTGTTCCCCCTTCCCCAGTCAGTAACGATGAGCTGCGCGGAGCCACCAAGGAAACGGCGGCCGAGATCGTCCAGTGGGTGAATTTTGCCGACAGCGACATCGTCCCCCCTGCCAGCACCTGGGTTTTCCCCACTCTGGGCATCATGCACTACAACAAGCAGGTGGGGGGACACGCACGCAGCCCCCCCCCAGAGTGTGGGGGGGCTCCTTGGCGCTGATGGTGGGTGCTGGGGTTCCCCCTTCCCCAAGTTTGGCGTCTCACCGCGGGTGCTGCCGGCTTTTCCGGGAGCTGCCACCGTTTGCCGAGGCGGATTCTTCCTCCCTGTGTCACACCCCCCCGCAACAGCGCGTGGGCTCTTCCCCGTGGTTTTTTTTGGGGACACACACATACAATCACCCCAGCAGCTCCCTCGGTGATTCCTCGTACTGATCTTTCCGCCAGCTGCCGACCTTCTTCATCCTGGTAGCTCTAAAAAAAAGAGCCCGGCGTTCCCGAGGGAATAAAGCAGCCGGGTTGGGGGGCAATGATAATGGAGGTGGGGATGGGGGGGGGGGAAGGTCTTGGCGGGGTTTGATGCCGAATATCCGGCGGTTTTCCTTCCCCAGGCGACGGAGTTTGCCAAGGAGGAGGTGAAGCGGGTGCTGGGGGTCCTGGATTCCCACCTCCGGACCCAAACGTTCCTGGTGGGAGAACGCGTCTCCCTGGCTGACATCACGGTGGTCTGCGCCCTGCTCTGGCTCTACAAGCAGGTGGGAGGGGGCGCGGGGGGCTG